GTCCGACTGGTTCCACTCGGCATGGCGGCCACTGATTGGCCTATTGTAGCCTGCCCCGCCTGATTATGATGATGGAGAATTTGGTGGAGTGAAGATTGGCAGGGGAACCGAAGTATTGGGAGAAAGCCTGCCCCAGCGCCACTTTGTCCACCACAAATCCCACTTGACCAGACCCGGGATCGAACCCGGGCCGCCGCGGTGGGAAGCCAGCGACTAACCGCTTGAGCTGTGGCGCGGCCATCTGTGGCCCGTTACTTGGCTGGTTATACGGAAGTTCATCCCATTTAACACAGGTGATAAAATTGAAAAGTACAAAAATCAGCTGAATGGAAGGCGGAAGAAGCAGTAGCACTCCGAGAGCCCCTTCTCCCCTAAAGTGTAACAGTTTAATTTTTCATAAAATTAACAATACGTAAAAATGCTGGTTCCTTTTACATCTGCACACGCGTTTCGGCATCAAGCGCTGTCATCAGTGCTTTGGTACAGTCAGTTCAAATAAAACAACAACAACAAAACATCTCAACGACTCATCATAGCTTATCCGTTGACATTTCTAAGATTTCCAGATTATGGAAGTTTCGAATTTTCTAAAACGCAGTTGTAATTTCTATCTTAAAAATTTTCCAGTGGTTCAATATATAAAAAAGAGAAATGGAAAAAAAAACAGTTCGCTCTTTCTCACTGTTTGGTGGCCCTTCGAATCTGATCTTCTGTGATGCTTGTAGAACAGGTTGTCTGTATTCACATAATTCTTTAAAATATTATGTCAGTTCATTTAAGATAGAACATTAAAGGAAGTGGACAGATGCTTATTGAGAATAAGCTCCGAGCTTAACCTGATCCGTGGTGCTGTGATGATGATGATACTTGGAACGTTAATTACCATCCTGCTGCCGCTGGATTTCGTGGTGTCTTAAAAGTAGTAGTGTTAAAGACAGCGATTTAAAATGCATGGTAGGATCAGCGGTTCGCACAGAGGTGCTCGTAAGGCGTTCTGTCGTCTGGGGTATGTAGTGCGGGGTCTTTGTTTCGTACTTAGAAACTGGGATATTAATTCATTTTTGTGGACAGAGCTTCGAGGTCAGTTAAGAAATCCAGTGTCAACAAATAAAAAAGGTTGTATGTCATTACCGACGTCGTTAAAAGTTTAATTTGCTCCGTGAGTGCGCAGTTCTTTGTTACATAAACGGGGGAGGGGGGGGGGAAGATGGCTGTATGCACAGAGCGAAAGGGGAATCCTTTCCAACCATCATTCTGTTAGCCTTGGACGCTAATGCCACTCTTGTTATTTTTTTTTTCAGAGTCGTTGAAAAAGAGGAACAACCTTGCTGACGTCATTGTAAGAGTACTACGAACTACTTCAAGGCAGATGGACACCATCCGGCAACGTGATCAGCGCAAGGACAGGTAACTGGTTACTGGTTACTGGTTACTGTGGGGTGTGCATTCTGTTCCATAGACGGCTATATTAGTGCGTGGATTCCTTAAGTGCAAGGTCGGCCAGACCGGCAATGCAACACATACCTTTGCACAGGGCGGCGGAAAATGAATTCGGAAAATAATTTTCATCACACACCCCCCACAATACAATATTAAACTTCAGCATAGTAATCGATGGACTTCTTTGGATATCTGAGGGCACGTAACAAGACAGAACAGCAGGGTGATCAGGTTTTATGAGTGCCGATCACACTAGCCTGCGGTGTGAGGCATGAACTGTTTTCTCTCGCTCAAACACTGGGGTCGTGAGTTCGAATCCAACTTGAGGCATAGATGTCTGTGTGCGTTTATTCTGCGTTTGTGCTGTCCTGTGTGCAAGTAACGGCCCTGCGAAGGGTTGATCCGCGTCCAAGGAGTGCTACGGACTGTGTAAAAAGATTAAGAAACTGAAAAAGCGGCCAAGGTCCAACAAAAGGGCTGTAAAGCCGCAGACAGATAAATTTTATGAGTGAAAAAATAGGACACAGTGCAAGCTGTAATTTTCACCTATGTAATGTTTTAGTGCATGCAATGACAATGCCCCTTCAGTTTCTCTTGTCCGTTCTCCTGTTTCTGAATTTTATTTGATAAGAAAGTTCACTGACCTTTGGGACATTATGACAAATCTGGATCTGTGTGTGTGCGCGTGCTTCGCACTGCTGACATGTAGTTCCAAATCGTAACTGCCCTTGCTTTGTACAGACGTGAATTTTTTTGCATGTAATACATTGTTTCATTTTCTCCCATCTTTGAAATAAAAGATTTTTTTAAGTTCACGGTTGAATTTACACTTTCTCTTTGGCATATTAATGGTAAGAGAACATACAAATTTATACCTGTCCTCGAACAATAAGAAAATACCACACGAATTTGTCGAAAACTGCAAAACCGCACTTACATTTACAGTACAGAACTTGTGATAGGCAGGCACAAACACAGCGATTAATGGGCTTCCTTCTCTGGCCTGGAAGCTGTGATATTACAAAATGCAGGCAGACAGGGAAGGCAAAAATAAATTAGTGGCGATAATTGTAACACGACACTCTCAGCCGTAGCACTGTTGCGGGTTCAGGTCCATAGTCACGTGGCAGTATTTCAGGCATACCGCTTGCAGCGTCTGCGATTTCAAAAACAAATAACAAATTTGGATTGTTACGTCCTTTACAGGAAATCCAAAAATACGCGTTCGTGAACTTACAGTTTTTATGAAACGAGAAGATATTATTGAAGGTTTTTAAGTATCACGTGACGGTATGTAAGAATTAAATTTAGAAAAAGAGGTCATGTTATCAGTTTAACAGAAAAGAGCACGGACATGAAAAATTGCCCATGAAAAGAGGACATGTCCGGGAAGAAGTGGACATCTGGTCACTACGGTTCATGCCATATGGCTTACAAGTCGTACTCATCCTCTTGAGGATAATTGAGGAGCTATTTCAAGGAAATAGCGGCTCCGGTCTAGAAAACCGAGATTAACGGCCTTGGGAATCCGTTGCGCTAACCACGCGACACCCTCTATCCGCTAAAGTTGGCACTAACTTCGCCGACAAGCTGCGGTCGCTTGGTCGGTATAGTTCGCTTGAGGACAACAGGCCACGGATTTTGTTTATTTGTTTGTAAATACGACAGAAGAGTAGAGCGGTTTCCGTTAGCTGCCCTAGCAGCGCAGCGGATTCCGAGCTGGCCATTAGCAGCTTACGGAAGTCGGCCTTCTCTTAAATTAGATACCCTGTGATATCCTGTCTGTTGAATTGTAGTATTTCTTCTCACTCTATGGCACAACAGCCCTTTAGACCTTGGCCGTTTTTTTCACTTCCTTAATCCTATACACAGTTGATAAGACGCCTTGGACGGGGGATCAGCCCGTCGTAAGGCCGCTACCTACACACAGAACAACACAAAACACAGAATAAACGCACAAAGACATTCATGCCTCGAGTGGGATTCGAAACCACGACCTCAGTGTTCGAGCGGGCGAAGACGGTTCATGCCTCAGAACGCGCGGCCACTGTGAACGGCTTTGAATTGTTTTACCAAATAAAAGAGGTAAAGGTATCCCTGTAACAGACCATGGAGGTCCATAAAATTGTGAGACGTCGAGACTTCCACGTTTTCTAGACAGTCGGCTCACAGATGGCTGTGAGGCTGTCAGCCTTACAAGCCGGCCATCCTTTAGCCCTCAGGAAGATTCCTGGTATTCATTTCTATTAGAGGCTGAGTAAACCCCAGGGTCATAGTGCGGCTGGAAAGATTAAGTCAATTGATAAAACTCCAATGGCCTCATCGGGAATCGAACCCGCGACCTTCCGGCTTGTANAACCTTGTAACAGACCATGGAGGTCCATAAAATTGTGAGACGTCGGGACTCCCACGTTTTCTAGATAATCGGCTCACAGATGGCTGTGAGGTTGTCATCCTTACGCGCCGGACGCGCTTTACTCCCAGGAAAATTATTTCATTAATTCCTGGTACTCATTTCTGTTAGAGGCTGAGTAAACCCCAGGGTCATAATGCGGCTGGAAAGATTAAGTCAATTGATAAAACTCCAATGGCCTCATCGGGAATCGAACCCGCGACCTTCCGGCTTGTAGCATGATGCCTCAACGAACTGCTTGCGATGTTCATATGAGACTTATTTAGCAAAACAGACCAATGCTACTATTAATAAATTACTATTTAACTGCCGACAAGAATGCACTTTGAATTTTGTCCATAATTGTAGCGAAACAAGCAGATACGCCTGCCGAGGTACGAACAACTGAACGTCGTTATTGCCATGGAGAAGTAACGATTGAGCCATGTTAGATAGTTCGATAATAATTGAAGTGTGTTAGTGTCTTGTCTGGCCGCGCCATAGCTCAAGCGGTTAGTCGCTGGCTTCCCACTACGGCGGCCCGGGTTCGATCTCGGGGTCTGGTCAAGTGGGATTTGTGGTGGACAAAGTGGCGCTGGGGCAGGTTTTCTCCGAGTACTTCGGTTTCCCNTTAACTGCCGACAAGAATGCACTTTGAATTTTGTAGCGAAACAACCAGATACGCCTGCTGAGGTACGAACAACTGAACGACGTTAATGCATCCAGACGTTTTCGTTATTGCCATGGAGAAGTAACGATTGAGCCATCTTAGATAGTTCGATAATAATTGAAGTGTGTTAGTGTCTTGTCTGGCCGCGCCATAGCTCAAGCGGTTAGTCGCTGGCTTCCCACCACGGCAGCCCGGGTTCGATCTCGGGGTCTGGTCAAGTGGGATTTGTGGTGGACAAAGTGGCGCTGGGGCAGGTTTTCTCCGAGTACTTCGGTTTCCCCTGCCAATCTTTATTCCACCAATCGCTCCACAATCACCCTCACCTATCATCTGGGGCTGGTACAATAGGCCAGAAGTGGCCGCAGTACAAGGGACTTAGTCCCACCCCACTAGCAATAAAAAAAAATGTTTTGTGGGAGGGAGGTGCAGTCCGTGTTTGCTCAGGGCGCAGTACGTTTAAGAACCTATAATAGTCACAGATGTTCCTGAAGGCTATGCGTGCATTTAGATCTGTTACGTGGGCACAAACCTTTTATCATGTGGATCCGGGTTCGACACACTGCTCGGGATAAGACAAAGCTTCGGGGATTCCTATCATATTTTACCATTCTCTCAGCTCTCAACTGTAATGAATCAGAGTTTTCGTGTGATGGTGTTCACAGTGTTGTATTCGCGTTGTTAACACACCCTTTTCTTATGGCAGTACCGCGTTTATGTCGCCGTTCAACTACCAAACTCGTGTGTAAGAAAAATGCTTTTCCAGTAGTACTTGTCATGGGTAGAACAGTCGTAACACGTGATGGACTTCAGGTCCTTGTTACTTCGAGTACGCTACGACACGCATGAATTCAGGGACATCCCCGAAACAAGTAGGATTTGAGGTTCTCATAGCAGTGGTTCTGGGACATTTGAAAGTCAGCCGGAGTTTCTGGGAACCAGTCGCCTTCATTTACAGGGTCGAGGAATAAACGAAAGAAGAAGCGTCCATGAAGCAGATAGCAAGTGGAGCTTCTGAAGCACAAGAAGCAAAGACTGAAACCAGAATCCGTTTTTACATCTTTACACAATGTATTGCTTGGCTTATTCTTCGACCCTGAAGATGGATGTGACGTGTTCATCCGAAACGTCAGTTGATCTTCAGTGGAGTACACAACGTTATATCTCAGAAGATGAGGTTCGGTTTCGTTTAAAACTACGTGTATTCTGAGCCACTGAACCGCCATGTTAGTTATGTATCTTGTGGCGCACAAGTAGAATTCTGTTTTGTTCTCTTTGGTTGTTTTATTGAGTCGATGACGTTAACTGCTCCAGGTTCGCATGTCAAACCTAGGTCTGTCACCTCTACTGTTCTGTGTTTGTCTCAGTTTAATCAAGCGGAGTAGTTAGCTCCTCCGCTCTTTACCGTTTTACGGTTTGGAGGGACAATCGCTGCATTTAACCCTTGCTCCTTCTTATGTCCCTAGTGCCCCCCTTATGGACAGGGGTGTCCAAGCTTTGAGCATAACTTAAGCAATAAAATTGGCATCTCCAGAATAAGAGTATAGTTCATAACAGTAAACAATACCAACAAAAATATAGCACAGTCATTACCGTGACAATAATAACATAACTTGACTATGAATGTGCAACATTTGCTCCCTCGCTGTCAGGTAGAACATGGTTCATTGGTCATAATACATTAAGATAAGCTGTGTCTGTTACTTTCAAATCCAAATCTCTTCATGATCGACCAGCTGATGTGACTTTACGTAAATAGTGAATTTGATACAAAATATGTTAAGCACTTGGTGAAGTGTGCCCCATATCTTCCCTATTAGGTGTCGTGACTTTTATCGTAACGATTTCTGGGATTGCATGTGGTAAAGTAGGGAGACCCTGACCTAGTTACTTAGAAGGACATGCAAT